GGAAGTTTGAAAAGCTTCAAACTTTTTAGTGCAAGAAATCAAAAGTTTGAAAATTATCGAATTTTTTAGTTTAGCAAGTTCGAAAGTTCGACAAGCATAGAATTTTGCAGCGTAATAAGTTCGAAATTTCGAAAAGCGTCAAACTTCTTAGTTTAATAAGTTCGAAAATTCGACTTCCGTCGAATTTCTCGATATGGAAAGTTCGAAAATTCGAAATCTTTCGAACCGCTTGATTCGATCATCGAAACTTCGGTTTGAAAAAAGTTTGCGGCATACCTAGTTGTGAAGTAATTGATCTCCGACTTTATTAGTGCTCGGCTGGCGTACACGATAACATGCTCCCGGCCTTGATTCCACTGGCATTGGAATGTATTTCGGTTGGATAATGGGGATCAAAATGACGTAGGATTAAATTGTGGGTTAAAGAGAGCTTTAAGGATCAAAAGGGATTTTCTTGGCGAGTTTTTCGAGAAAAGGAAAATGAGAGGTGCAGCATGATCAGCAAAAGCTTTGATAAAATGACAGAAATAGAAGCAGAGGCCAAGGAAACTGCATAATTGATTTACATCAAGGGCGAAAAAAACTCTGTAACAGCTCTTATTTTCTCAGGATCAGGGCGTGTGCCGTCAGCACTGACAGTGTGACTCAAGATCTGGATTTGATGGGAAGCTAGACGGCACATTGAATTTAGTCGTAGACCAACCATTCTAATGCACTCAAGTGCTGACTTCAAGCAAAGAGGGTATTCACCGAATGTCACAGAAAAAATGACTACATTGTTTAAATAACAAAGGCATGTTTGCCACTTCAGGCCCTGCAGTAAAGCATCATTATTCTTTCGAATGTTGCTAGGGCGTTATATAACCAAAAGGCATTACCTTAAATTCATATAGTCCGTCGGGAGCAATAAAAGCTGTTTTTTCGCGATTGCATTCACTACTGTTTTTTTTTTGCCAGTACCCTGACCATAAATCTAAAGACGGAAGATATATTTGGAACCTTGCAGACAGTTCAATGCGTTGTCTATCCATGGGAGAGGATAGACATCCTTTAATCACCAGCAATTGACACAGAACCTCCAGAATCCACCTTTCTTCTCGATTAAAACAACGAGCGAGGACCGAGAACTACAGGAAGGTGAAATAACATCTTTCTGAAGCATGTCTTGAACGTGCTTATCAATCAACATACGCTCGGATAGAGAAACACAATAGGGTCTGTGGTGGACTAGCGAAGCATCACCGGTGTTGATGCAATGTTTGACAAAATGGCAGACGGTAAAGGCTTATCTTCAAGATCAAAACACGAAGTGCAGACCTTCAGTAAAATTAATACCTAATTTGTCAAAGGAGCAACACAATGGTGTTGCTCCTTTGACAAATTACAATCAAACATGGGTAATAAACCAGAGACACCTCTATACGACGAGAAACACGTGGTTGGCAAGTTTTGTGGGAATGTGTCGAGGGTAGCAATAAGAGTGTTGGACAGCGTGTGAACAAAAGCGACACATGTTTTAGGCTGTAAACGCTCTGTTTTGTTTGAAATATTTGTGATAGGGGCACCGGTTAAACTATTTCTCAATGTGAGTATTGAAAAAGGTAGGGCTAGTCCTTTCTCAGGCAACATATCACAATGTGGTTCAATTTAAACGTTTGTTGGCTGTTGTTCAAAACAAGACTTACTTTGTAACATTACAAAGCAGACGTCCGTGGTGGAATCACATAGTCAAAAGCCGTGCTTAATTTCGTTACAGCTGGCGAGATCTCTGGTTCACAGTAAGATTCTGTGACTGCGTGAATGTTAAGCATGCCGGTGCCACAATCAATGAGGGCTTTGTACTGCGACAATAAGTCTGAACCTAATACAAAATTATTGTGCACAAGCGGCACGGCGAGAAAAGAGCACGACCGGCACCTCACAAAAGTCTTCCGTCGGGGGTTGGGGGGGGGGGGGGTGCCAATGAGATGAAGTTTGTGCCTAATGGACTCCCCTTCATCACTGATAGTGTGGCACCTGTGTCAATTAAGGCTGAGAAAGATTTTGTATGGACGGTAATTAAAACAAAGTTTCATGGAGGTGACAGAGGCTTACAGAAATTTGACGCAGCGGCATGAGTTCCTGAAGGCCGGCGTCTAGTTTCCCATGTTAGAGTAGGATGTGGAAGGTTGATCCAAAGGCCTGAATGACGTGGGCGAGCTTGGGTAGGGCGACGGGTTTCGCCTGCGTAGGGACGGTCTGGGAGAAAGGGGGGAGGGGACGAGCGGGGGAAGTCTGATTGGCGTGCTCATCTTCGTAGGGTCGTGGAGTGTATGCTGGCCGGAAGTAGCAGTCGGAGCGAGGTCTGTACATATACTCCTGATTTGCTTGTTCCTCAGCAATTCGACCAGGACAAAATCTAGCTGTATGGCCGCGAATACCACAGTGAAAGCAAGTAAGGCGTCGTCGGATGACTGAAGACCACTGATCGGCAAAGGGATTTGGTTTTGGTGGTCTTCAGTATGGTGGGCTGAAAAAGGGAGGTTGATAAGAGGCTTGTGGTGGTGGTGGTTGCAAGTTCGGATCAGCTCTCGAACGAAAAGTCATGGCGATAGAAGAGACCTGTGAAGTAGCTGATGAAAGCTCCTCTCGTATGATATCGCGCAGAGAAAGGCGGGTGGTGTTGTCGATGAATCGTTGAGCGCGGTAGAACAATCGGGAAACATAAGGTGCAGCTGCTCACGACTGATGTTTCGTTTAAGGGTGTGGACGCTGCCGGTTAAGGGGGCTTGCAATGAAGGTGCCATGACGGGAGAGGTGGTTGGAATCACTGCTGCCGTCGGGATGTGAGTATGTTTGGTCTCGCTGAGGCGACAGCATGCCTCAGTAATACCGCTGACTGTCGTCACAATCTGGGCCATTAGATATTTAAACCAGTCTTTGATGCCTTTTAAAACATGTCAGACTCTGTCAGCCTCTGTCATGGTGGTGCTAGCCAGTTTGCACAGCACCAGTATGTCCTCAATGTATTTAATGTAGTTTTCTTCAAGGTCTTGTGCTCGGTGGGTGAGATGTCCCTCGGCTAGTTTTTTTCTTTGTGCCGAGAGCCCAAACACTTCAAGGAATTTCTCCTTAACCCCTTAAGTGCCTTGGACGAGCTGAGCTCGTCGGCCATTTTTGGGCTAAAAATGCCATGGACGAGCTCAGCTCGTCCAGTGGTTCTTTCGGTAGCCCTCCATTCTACGAACGAGCAAGGCTCGTCCGTGTAGTTTTGCGGCGCTGATCATAGATGGCAGCACTTGTATTAGTTGGCAAATATTTTTTTCGCCTCCACTGATTTTTTTGGAATAAACTTTTCAAATTGTATGTGTAATACTAGAGGAATAAAAATTAAAAATAAAAAAAAGGCACTTTTAGGGTACATTTGGGAAAAAAATGTGGCACTTAAGGGGTTAAAGCGGTCTCACAAGGCAAAGGCATCTTCATTCTTATTGTACCAAGTCATTGCGGTGTCCTTGAGGTAGAAATTGACGTTCGCAAGCTTGAGAGTGTCATCCGATCGGTTGTGGGAGCTCACTCTGTTGTAGTCGCAGAGCCATTCAATGACATCTTGATCTGCAGAGTCAGAGTATAGGGGTGGGTCCCGCTGGCGGATGGAAACAATTGGGGCCGGCATTGTTCCAGAGGTCTGCAGAAGGGCTGCAGTTGCTGGCCCGAACAGAGTTTCGTGTTGATGCCTCCACCTCCATCTCCATCAAATATTATGTGATGTTGAGTGTGGACAAATATGTCTGTTAGAATGTGCTCTATTTTTGTGACAGCTTTGTCTTTCTCCTCTATCCACAATCATTCAGTATCCCACAAAAAAAAAACGTAATTGTTCCTCAGCATTCATTAATGCGATCAAGCGTCAGTAGAGTGTCTCACTTTCGGTAAAATATTCTTATTCTGTAGGACACCTGATAGCTAGGCAACTAAGCTCAAACTTGACCCAAAGAATATACGTAGGATCATACATAAGCAGCATATTCGTCAAAATGACTCTGCAATTTATACTAAAACCTGAATTGAAATATAAATATCAGCTGCTTACCGGGACGCCAGTGGGTTATATGTTCCTCGGCTCAAGACGCAGATGCTTCATTTTTAGTCATTTTCGTGCAGCCTATGCTGTTGTACGAGCTGACTGGATATGCGGATGCACACAAACGCCCAATCTCGCGAACAGAGAAATCGCAAGGTCAAGGAATGCAAGTTAGCTAAGAATTACGCTCGGTGGCACAATTCTGTAGCCATCGCCGCCATCGTTAGCCGATCAAAACTGATTAAAGCTAATTACCACCGCTCCGGAGCCCATAATTCGGTTTCAACCGAAATCTTCAAAACCAAAAGTTAGATATGAAAAGAATACAGAGCAGTGGGAAAATAAAACTATGCTCTGTAGTTCAGGTGCAACGGCTCCACATAACCGTCACAGTCTAAACATCTAGAAAAGAGGGCATTAAACCAAGAAAATCTATTAAACTGTATGCGTCTACTGTTCAGCCGGCCTGGCCGACCCGACCTATTTCCAGCCACCATGTTTGTTCGGAAGTGGCACCCCCTATAGGGTAGGTCGCTGGAGTCGCAAATATGGCAAGTTTGACTCAAGCAAACACCACTCCAAAATTCTTTGGTAATTAATTTTCTCAGATGTCTGGGTGGGTGCTCATTCTATACTTTAGAGTAAGTAATACATCATGGAGGCTTCCTCGTGAGTGAGAGTAAATCAAAAGCTAATTCCAAAAAGCGTGATGGTCACTCCCTTTTTAAATGTGTTATGTAATCGGCATCCTACTATAGATATTTGACTCCACATGCAACAGAAATATAAGTAAGGTTCCCCATTTAGTTGCTGGCTTTGCTCAGCATGTCCCCTCCCTCGCCAATACCAACAAAATTAATGTGGCAACTGCTGTCACAGACAAATAAAAGTCAACAAACAATTGCTGGGCAATAAACTGAAAGATTGTTCACATCACCTTGATGACGCTGACATAGTTGGCAATGGCTGAACGAGCAGACGAGTGCAGCTTGCGCGCTTTCGCGTCACAGACCCAACAGTGCACCCCACGGCGACCAGAATAAACCCATAGAATGTGTTCAAATCCAAAGTCCTCTGAAAGGTACACATTATGAGCTTTTCGAAGAGAAACCTAGATGTCAATGTCGTACGGAGACGATGTAGGGAATATACCTCTCAAAGTTCGGTCCAATATTTGCATGGCCAAAGTCATAAAAAGCCAGCAGTTGTTGCAGATGTCGGCGCCCTGGCAGCATGTTCGCACTTCGTCGTAGTCTGTCATATCGATGTCAAACACCAGTTCCTTTTCTCGGGGAGCAAACGTTGACTCATGATGGTGGAGCTTAGGCTAGGGAGAGACAAAATAGGTGCACACCGCTCACTCCACTGCTTCTAGCAGATCATCCTGCCACCTTAAAATTTGCAATTTTTTAGAGAAAAAATGACTTTTCTTTTTTCTCTATTGTGGTTTAAAAACTAATAGTGCACATTCCTGCAAATTTTTATTGCAATATCTAAAATATTTATGGAGAAATAAAACATTTTCGGTAAGCTGACTATACAAAATCATGTTTTGGAAATGTGGAACTTCTGTTTCCTATTTTCTAGCGGTAGCTCCGCACCGGTATGCCCTAGAATGATGACCACACTCTCGTTGGAAAGAACATTTCTTCACAGTTTCAGTACATATTAAACATATTTGTTCAAGAGTAAACACTATTCAGGTAAGAACACCATAGAAGTCCAGCTTTCCCGTGGAAGAGGCTATGCACATGGCCAAGAATCGAAAAGCCCGCCCTGATTGAACAGAAAACTAATTAAAACCAACATTTGTTTATAGAAAGTCACGTAAGTTTGTCTGCTTTGTATTTCGACGATGCTTGCCCTGCCCATAATTGCTTACACTGGTTCGTGCATTGCAAGCCTATCCAATTCCTCACTCATTTCATTATCAAAAACCACATGTTGACAACAAAATTACTACACTTGAAGAAAGTGTTGTAAGTTCAGACCCACTTAGCAAGGCCATGCAGGAGATTGGGTGTAAGCAGAAGGCACCACCTACGCTTTGTGCCTTTTAGTTGCTACCACCACCAGTAAAAGCAAATGTAGTGGTGAAACTTCAAATAGGTTGTTCTCAGTCTAACTTTTTTGCAGCAACTTTCGTTTTACAAAATCTATCATTTCAATGAATTGCGGAATTTATTCTTCACTGTGGATGTTTCTGAACTCAAATTCAATCAGGAATGCCGCTTTTTTTTTTTTTTTTTCACTTAAATAAAGTTTTGATTGCCAAAAGTAGGGTTTTCATGAGGACAAAATGCCCCATTATGTGTATTGCTTTTCAAATTGTAATTTTACATTAAAAAAAGCGCAGATCTCAAAGTAAAAAATAAATACCCCCCCTCCCCCATATGTTCTAGTTACGGCTGAAGCTTAGAAATGCTCAATGTTTTGCAGCAATTTTATATGATAGATTTCCTTGCCAAGTGAGGCGACTTACATGAATGGCTGTATATCTCCCCCTGTAGCTTATCGGAAAATTGTCCTACGGAGATGAAACGCCATACGGTGCACTTAGTCAAGAAGATGAATATACCCTTTAAATTTCATCAAGATTGAGCGACTGGTTTAAAATCAACAGTCGAAGGTGGTGTCACCCCAAATACACCGGTGATGGAATGCCTTCGCACGAGGCCCAATAACGAAACGGGAATGTAAAATCTTACATTGTGATTGTAGATGGCCCCTATGTCGATCTTGTGGGGATTCTTGTCTCTGAGCGCTTTTTCCAAGTCTTTTTGCTCGGAGAATGATTGGAAACGCAGGTAGACGTCGTCTTCGAGCGTGAACGATATCTCACGGTTTTGACCCATCGTCTTGTCCACTGAAGAGCAATACCGAGCAAAGCGATTAATTAAACACTTGCATAACATGCATGGTAATTTTTTTTTTTTTTTAGGTTTTTAACACGCTCGATGTTTTTGGTGCAGTTAGCGCACTGGAGCAAGTGGACTCCGGATGATTGAGTTTATCCCTTACCACCTCCATAGGTCAGCCACTTGTAAAAGATGCTTGAAGGAAATAGCTTGCTGTAATACAGAGGTAAATAATCGCTGAAATGCTTGGGGTCGTAACGGTCATGACCTTGAGTGGCTTTTGACAATGCCATAATTAACTCCAAAAAATGAATCCTCCTCGCTAAACACGCTAAACACGTACCGGACTAACCGAACCAACCGAACCTGACCGAACGCTGCCGCTTTTTTTCGCCAACTTCGCGCGCTTTTGATTACAGGGTTGCTGGCATTTAATTGATCTCGCTCTAAAGCACAATCTACCATGCTCAGATTAACCAACGTTGCAAGAAACGGTGGTTAAAACTCTGATTGTTTAAACATATTACCATTTGAATTATTGGGTTATCTCATTCATGTAAAATATTGCAGTTAAAAGGATGCGAGCAGGCGGCCACTGGAGAGGCAACTGGCCGAAATGACATTCCGTAACGTACGTAACTTGGATATACGGCATGGCGGATTGTACGGTATTAGGGAATTCGGCCCTTGAGGTCTCGGGCTCTACAGATAATGCTTCTGGCGGTTCAGAATCATTTCACGCTCACAGAACGGATGACCATAGTCTGCTTAAGGTATGTCAAGTGTAGTTTGCCTTGTCTTTAGAAACTAGTGTACTGTCAGCAGGATGTGTGGCTGCGTCACAAAGCTACAAGGCTTTCATATTAAAAATAGCGCAAAAGAGACCGGACAAAAAGACGGAAGAAGCACACAGGACGAGCGCTTGTCCTGTGTGCTTCTTCGTCTTTTTGTCCCGTCTCTTTTGCTCTATTTTTAATATAAATGTCCATTACCAACTTGCCCAGCAGACCAAGCTTTTACTACAAGGCTTACGCAGCTAGCGTTCCGAACGCCAAAACATCGCGTTAACATCGCGTTTTGAAGCGTCTTTTATAATCGGTCAGATCTCCGAAAAGTTGTTCGTTGATAGTAAGTTGTTATCTGGCGTTCTTAAGCGCTATGTCAGTAGGGCGGCACCCGATGCAGGCATGTCCGTTTTATGAATTTAGCTGAACATGTAGAAGTGCAAGGGCATGGCATGGTGTGTAATGCTGTCTTCTTGAAACCTGTCACGTCCTTACCTTGCCAATCACGTATTCTGAAAAAAATAACTTGGGTCATTTTAACACCAGGCACCCTCGGTTTCGAAGATCGTGACTTGTACCGGAAGCCATTCAACGTCTGCCAGAAAGCGTGCATATCTTTCTTTACTGATCGTTTGACGCTCGAAAATACGTATTGTTCGTGAACTTTTTTCTTCTTCTTTACATATCTTTTGTCGCTAGAAGGTACGTACTGTTCGTGAACATCTTTTTTTTTTTTAACTAAAACAAAGGTTTCATTTTAGGGATTTCGTGCATATCGTGAAACTACCATAAAGAGAAAAGAATAATTTGTGTTGAAGCCGCTGCTCGCATGTGTGGTAACATACCGAGTTTACAACAGAGAATCCCTTTCATTACAAACCGTAGACGAGGAACGGTAGAAAAAACGGACACAAGACGAGGTCTGAAATTCAGCTTTTTGGTGTCAACATTCTGCTTTATATTGCAAAACACGAGTAATTACTAATGAGTGAGTATATTGAGAAAATAAGGTGCAAATAGGAAATGCGGAACAAGAGGTTAGCCTCCCAGTGTGGGGTCATATTTCTCATTCCGCTCGGGGAGAGGGAAATCAAGTGTGGTTGAGAGGAGGAAGGGGAGGGCTAGTGCCTGGCACTACGGGGTGGGGTGTATCTCAAAACGTCCCATTCGCATTTGAACTTTGCACGTTTTTTCCCATTCCCATTTGGACCTCGTTTGAACCTTCTCATAAAATCGGAACAAGTTATTTCGCAACTGGGCCCATTCTCATTTTGTCCGTTATCTAAAGGCATCCCATTTGCATTTGGGCCTTGGACATTTCGTCCCGTTCTCATCTGGTCAGTCTCATTTGAACCTTATCATCAGATCAGAGTCCATGTTTTTGCAACTGGGCCCATTCTCATTTTTCCCGTTCGCACTACAACCGGATGGCACTAGTTTGGCATTCTTCCGGCGTTATGCCTTCGCATATTTGTTCGTGAGTTTTGGCCCCCAATATGCCATCGGATATATGAGGGTCCTTTGTTTTCAGGTAAAACCTGATATTTCCCTATATTTGCACCCCAAATATGTTTTCTTTTTCTTTTTCTTTTCTTACACACAATTATTAACAGAGTTCGGAACAAAAATTTTACCATTTTCACGTTTTTCGGCATTGTAGGAATGTGGAGCTTATTAAAAAAAACTTGTTGAAAGTGTGCGCGAGGGAAGGAAATAAAGGAGTATCCGAGTAACATTTCTGGAGGGAAAAAAAACTTACCTTTGTGAAGGCAATTTCAATGAGAAAGCACTATGCCAGACTACTGAATGGCTCGCTGATGTTGCTGTGCGTTGCAAATGGAATTTTTTGATGTTGAGAAAACAATCTCACGGTTAAAATATGTCTGAAGACTAGACAGGTCTACTATCAAAACTGAGGGAATACCACGTTTTGACCTGATTATCTGCACAATAATGACTGGTTTGTGTAAATAAAACATTCCATGTCCTAAAACCGATCAGTACTTTTTATTGGCCGAAGGCAACGATCGAGGGCTGGAGGCGGAACTTCTGCATTATCTACCTGTCACAACTATGGACCTTTCTAATAATCGCCTTCTGCGCACTGCCATCTTTGTCTACTGGGCTGTGGAAGGTGTTCTGCACGTGCGCAGTAGCTCTTTTTCACGAAATGGGAAATGCCCAGCGATTCATCATTTTTCGCCTGGGTGATAAGCACTAGAAAGAACTATGGGCGAGGATAGATTTGTGCTCCATGCCAACATTTTTTTTTTTTTTTGGCAATTTCCACGAGCAAGTATTAACACAGAATGTGTTTTATCAGTCGATTTTCATGGAGGTCTGTATTGTTCTAGTGCAGGGATCTCGAAACTTTTAGCTCAGTGGCTGGATTTGGGATCTGTTGCAGTCTTGAGGGCCAGATAATAAATAATAAAATAAATAAAAATTAGAAGAAAAAAAAGGGGAAGTAAATATAGAGAGGGGTCTGAGTGCAAAAATTAAGTTAGTTAAAAAAAATCTTAAGTGGTTTAATAAGCACTTAATTTTTTTTAAATTCAATATTTAGTTAATTGTGACATACAAAAATTGTGAACCAGAAATATGTCAAACATGAATAAAAGTACAGAGGAAGTTTATTCACACAGGGCGGAAGACTACTGAGGATGGTAGAACTGGTGGTGGCACTATGCAGTCTGCCGAGAAACTGAGGGAATACAGTAATAATAGGATACAATACAAAAGGAGGAGACGAGAGCACGAGGGGACGTCTGAATGCCTAGCTCTGGTTCGAATGATTAGTGAGTAGACCTAAAGCTAGTTGGCTTTGTCTCTACTGCACTTGTCGAATGCGTTCGAATCTGAGAGCCAAACGCCGTACGCCAGTGTTTCGCCGAACACCAGTGTTTCGCGTTTTGACACGTTTGCTGCATGCGGTGGAGACGAAGGCAGCTAGGCTTTAAGTCTACCCACTAGTCATTCCAATCGGAGCTCAGCATTCTGTTGTCCCCGTGCGCTGTCATCTCCTGCCATCTCTGTTTCTCAGAACCGCTTCAGTTTTTCTTCAAAGAATTGTTCTTTGGAGTCGTAAATAAAAATTTTTGTAAATAATAAAAACCCTACTTTCTCTTCTGCAGGTTTCAGAAGATATCTCAAGTACACAGCTTGAAGATTCAAGGACAGTAGGAACTGCTGGCGATCCAGTAGTTGAGAAAGTAGGAGAGACAAGGGCACTTGCCACAGATAATATTCAGGAGATTTCCACAATGCCACAGACAAATAATATGTCAGAGTCTTTAAGTGGTAAAGCAGAAGATGAGCAAAGACTGTCAAAAAGTCCACCTCCAGAAGAACCAGTGAGTGAAGTTTCAGCCTCTGATGTGCCGACTGAGCCATTGCTTGCAGAGTCTAGATTTGAAGGATCATCACCCGTGACTGACGCTGCGACAGTCAACGTGCAAAAATTTGATGTTTTGACTAATGAAGAATTGACGATAACCTTGGACAAACCGTCCCCATTAACTCAAAGGCTAGTAGTAGAAGAACAGCAAGAAGAAGCTCCTGTAGGAAGGGCCTCTGCTGTTGAGGATCTGCAAGTTGAGTTAGCATCCACGGTTACAAGTCTTGGAACAGGAACGACGACTGCGAAAGTTACAGAAGAGTTTCTCGCTGCTCTATCTAACGAAGAAACCCTGGTGGTTAAAAAGCCTCCAGTCAGCATTTCTGAAAGCAGCGACATTATTGCAGAAGGATCTTCGGGGACCGTTTTTGAAACGGAAGTCTCGGGTGCCAAGGACTCCAGGGGAATAACTGCTTCCGAAGCAAATAATGAAGCCGAGAAAGAGCTCCCAAGTACTCTTCCTGATATAGCCATCTCAGCTTCAGGAGAACATCTTGCAACTGTTTCTGCAGCAGACAGTTCAGTAGTTGGGGAGACTTCTATATCTGAAAACTTGGATGTAGGAGAAATGTCAGTAACTAACGTCTCCGCTGTTGAAGAGCCACAAGTAACTGTTTTTGATGTGGACACATCAGTGGTTGAAGAGACGTTATCATCTTCTAAAGATGACGTTATAGCTTCAGAAGAGCCCCAAGCAGTTGAAAACCTTCAAGAGACTTTCTCGGACGCGGAAATTTTGCTTCTGAAAGAGGCATCATCAACTGTTTCTGAAGCTGACCTTTTAGCTGCAGAAGAACCTGATGCAGACATTTCTACGAGAGAAAGTGCCCGATGCAGGTCTATGGACTCGCCTAAAGATGACACTGGGGATTGTGTGGTAAGTAGCAGGCTTCTGAATGTTCCATGCATTTTTGCAAACCCCCCTGCCTGTCGCACAATGAAGTTATTTTGAATTACAAGGTTCTTGCATTTTATTTTTGTCACATTTAAGATGTTTTTATGAATATGTCTAGATTTAAAAGAGGCAGTGGCGGGTGGATTTGCTAGCAATATTTGTTATTGCTCAAAGCAAGGTTAACTTGGAGAAGAGATTGAGGAGTGATAATTATTGCACATAAACAGTACATGGCAGTGGGTAAGGGCAGGTAGGTGACTAAAACTGGCAAAGATGAGAGGCTTTTGTTCCTGGAAATCCTTGGGAACAGGGAGAGAGAGAGAGAGTGAAGTTTGAGAAAGGTAAAGAGATTATGGAACCAAGTAAAATCAAAACTTCATTGTCTTTGAATTGCTTTTAACACATAACATGATGTTGGCTAGGTTCTAGAACTTCCCAGCCATTGTGAAGCGTTGTGGCAAACTTCATCCACAGGGTTAATTTGCACGGTTTTTGAAAACCCTTGAATTTGAAAACTGCATTTCCCGGACCTTGTAAGCCCTCGAATATCTAGTGGTGCTTGAAAATCCTTGAATTTCCCAATAATAGCCCTTTTTCTTTCAATAATAAAATTTTTTACAATACTAAAATATAATTTTTTGTACGTGTACGTTAACATAAATTGCAACAAGGAAGTTTTCTATATGGCACATTAAGACACGTTTAGCGCTGTTAAGCGCCTGACCACAATGTTAGCACTTTCGGTGGTTTTGGATCCGGTCTCGCCCGTCCACCATCTTGCGGCTTGTTTTCTCACATACTGTTTACTAGCTACTCCTGGTTTGTTGGTTCCACGTCTGTTTTACGCTACACATGGTGAACGTAGTTTGAGTTGTGCGCGTCGCCCGAGAAGTGCAACTTTCAGCGGTCGTGGCTGGGTCACGACGACTACAGACACCAAGGAAGCAGAGGCAACAAATGACATCACCTACATTTGGCCGTTTTCCTTAGACTGTTTGATTTGACATTGTCAAGTTGAGCAGCCTAAGGAAAACTGCAAGCGCAAAGTTGCGAGAACTTCTGAACATCAACCAGGAAATCAAGGAAAAACTGCACTAGCTCTTCTGAACCCTTTACTAGCACCTCTTTGGCAAATGTGCATTTTCCTAGGTATCTTGCTGTAAAGAATTTTTGTGGTGTATTTAAAAAAGTTATATTATAAATCTATGAGATAGGATATTTTAAGGGGTACTTGAAAATATCTTTACAGGCCGTTAAAAGTCCTTGAAAACTCTTGAATTTGTTTTTCTCTTTGAATTCTGTACGAATCTTGATTCAGGACCAGGAGGATGCATTAGTCCTGGCCGCAGACCAGGAGGAAACCGAAGACTTTGAAGCAGGCTTTGGGGCCAAGGCAGACATCTTGGACAACTCTGACCAGGACTCCGTGAATGGAAAAGAAGAACTGAAAGCGGGGGAGGAGTTGGGCCATGAAGAGGAAAGTGACGAGGCATTTGACGAAGAAGGGGAGGATGACAAGGGAAGCCTCAAAGGAGAAAGGCAGCAGGGCGATGGGCAGGTAAGAGAGGCTGCAGTTTCGTTGCATGGAAATGCACGCTTGGGGACGGGCATAGGCACTGTAGAGGTCCATGGGGCAGGCCGACTCTTATTTTGCTTTTTTGCTTCTATTGGGAGCAAGTGTTGGGCTTTGGTAGCCATTGTTGTACCCTATTTCCAGTTAGGCTCAGATTAGTAGTGTGTCTGTTCTCGAGACACCACAATAATGAATGCCTCTTTTTATTCTACTCTCTGTGTCTCCTGGCTTGGGAAATGCAGCCCATTAGTTCAGAGATTTCAAGTGTGTTCAACATTAGCAGCTGGTTAATGTTTAATGTGAGTGGAGTAAAACATTAACCTCTGTGATAATGTAATGACCAAAGCGGTCCTTAGGGTAAATAAATAAGATTTTTTGTGTCCTGTACTGTCCGCAGAGGAAAATTCTGGTGTAAACCAAAACATTCTCCTTAGTTGAGCGTAGTTGTAAACCAGAGACTGAAGGATATAAACAAGGGATGAAAACAGAATGACACAAACAAAGTCTCCACTTCATCTGTGTCTTTCTGTATTTTCGTCCCTTGTCCGTATCCCCAGTCTCAGGTTTACAACTATGCTCAATTTATGCCAGCTAGCCTGCACCCTCACCATTGCTTCTCCTTAGTTGGTTCACATCTGGTGCCTAGCTTGTGCATAAAATACAGTTGAACCTCGATTTAACAAAACCCGAATTTACGAATTTTCCGATTTAACAAACAAATACGGATTCCCTGCGCAGCCTATGTGCAAGCTATCCTTTCCTCGATTTTACAAAGTTCCCGATTTAACGAAATAATTAGCGGGTCCTGGTGACTTTGTTAGATTGAGGTTCAACTGTATTATCATACACAGCACGGCTTACCAAATGCCTGCTTTGTTAGCTTCCAAAAAAAAAAGTTATTATACATATACATTATCATTAACATACTCTGCTGTTCAGAAAATCTGTCACGTCTCGTCGTAATGAGTGATCTATACTCATTTTCAACTCGAGAAAAAAACAAGTTTTGTGCATTGTTCATACGCCGCACAAAGTAGTTCTTACAAGATTTGGTGGTCGAAGGAAGGAGCGCAACGCATTTGACATTTGAAACATGTCCGTCTTGATAAAATAAAATATATTTACTCTAAAAAGTGCCTAAATATATCTTAAATCCCCAGGTAAAAGTAGAAATTAGTAATGCTCCGTGAAGAGCCACACTTTTTTTACTACGGTTCTTGAGGTGAAATGGAGTATAGAAAAGACTAATCCTTGTGTGGACTGCACCATGTAAAATTTTTACTTTTAAACATAAATTGTCTGAAAAATATGGTAGTAAATTGCTGACATTGGTGTCAATTGTGGCATCTTAGTCTGGACAATGACGTGGCCAGCGTGATTCATGAGGAAATTATAGCATAAGATGACAAGGGCCATTATGAAATGGACGTTTGTACAAAAATTTTAAAGTGATAGCTTTTTTTTTTTTTTTTGAGAAAAACAAAACGAAAAGCATTAACAAAACATTGCCAATGGGTTCAAACTTTGAAATTCATGCAAAATGAAACCAGGGTCATAGAGCACTGCAGAGGTGTGCAACCCAGGGTGAAGTTCACGCCTGGTCTGGAGAGGAGCACAGTGCAGAGAGATGAAAAAGTGAGGAGAGGGAGCAGAGCAAAAGAAAGAGGGTGGCCACGGCTGACCAGCCCATTGTGTTGCTTCAGGAAGTAGTACACTCTTTCCTTACCGCAGAAGAAAAGAATGTTATGGGGTGCTCTCGGTAAAAAAATTGTTTTGCCGCAAATTTCACAACTTGGTGTACCAAAGCATACTTAAATAAAGCTAAAGGAATTCTCTTTTCAAAACCGTAAATATCAAACAAGATATTTATTATATAGCACAATTTGAAAAAAATAATATATGTCAAATTTTATGTAACCAACTAGGGATGTTGCAAACCTGCTGAGGTTTGAGTTCGAAAGGGTTAGAAAATTTTGAATTTCGTTAGGATTCTAATTTGAATAGAATATTTTAAAGTTCCTGAAAGTTTGGGTTTGAGAATTTTGGAATTTCTTTGCAGATAAAGTTGGAAAAATGTGAACATTCCTAATTTCTTTGAGAATAGAGCTAGAAAAATGAGAATATTTCAAATTTGTTAGAGGAAATTTTAAGTTTGAATCTCGCAAGGCGGAGATCGAATTATGAAAATCGGATTCATTTCAGAAGCCTCTAACATATGACATATTTGACTAAAAATGTAGCACATTTATTTTATGTAGTGAAGACTCCTCCGTACTGTGTCCTGAGGCATAGCCAGGGGGAATTGTGGGGGGGGGTCATACGTGCGGGTGCAGTGCTGGGCTGGGCTTGTTGGGTTTCTATCAGCTCAAGCTTTATTAACTTTTATATTGTCAGGATAGGCTCGCAGGGCAGAGTGGATGAAAAAAAAGAAAAGAAAAAGATGCACCTTGGACGATCACGATTTTAAAACACGACTTTACTGATAGTATAAATCTCGCCACACACCTTCTCTACCATTGCAAAAGTCTATGCAATCTTAGCAGAGATATAGAAACGTAGAAATGCGATTTCGTGATCGCATAGACGTTGCGATCGTTCAGGAATGCTAACACTAATAACTTTTCTCGGGTGATAAAAACACGTTGAAATTCACATCCTTCACATGCGCCTTTAAATGCAATATGCACCAGTGATACCTTGAACTTGAGCACACGCATCTAATGCGAAAATAAAAAATCCGGACGGTGTTCAAGGAGACAAATTGCTAAGAAAGCACCACTGTTGTCGAAGTAAACAAAGACGACGGCATGAGCGTTTCTGCTGTTTTGAGGGTGTCGCCACAGCATCGCCGCACGAGTAGATGGATCTTCCCTTCTAGGATGTGCTGGGTTATCATTGCAATACACAACGAAAATTCAGTCAAGGATAGCGCTCTACGCGGAACAATGAGCTTCCACTACGCCGACCACGTAAACGATCGCCACCAACACCACGTTTTTCAGCAGAGAGTACAAACCACAAAAGAGTACAGACGCGGTCTTGTTTTTCTCTTGCTTCGTTTACCACACGATAGATGGATAGATCATAGTTCTGAGCATTATAAAATTCGGCAATTTCCGTCACATCGCTAATTATTCAACAAAGTGTGGATCAGAATATTCTTGAACAAAACTTTGAGTAAACATCCGCGGGCTATTTATTGTTGATAATCGCGGTGCTGGTGAGGTAGGCTCTTATCCAATAAGCGACGTGGATTTGGCTGACATGCATTGGCACCTTGAATGCATCGCAGTGAAAAGCCAGCGAGCTTTCAAAGGAAAGAAGGTATAAAAGAGTCCACTTTTCTTTTAAAAGTTCTATCGCGAAAAAATATTTTTGGCTCTCTATTTTTGTGTTTTGGTTTTCTTTCCACACCTTTGACGACGTGCGGTGGATGAAATTCTATTTCGAAATCATATCATGGTGCCTTTAAGGCACCCTACGGAGTTTTATATTGAAGGGGTTCTGTGCGAAAGCTGAAGGAAAATATCTCGAGTATGGGACTCAAGTTCGAGGCGTAGAGGCTACCCCTAAGCGAGTTTCTGGTGACACAACCTAAGATCGGCTAAGTGAAGTTTCAGTGCAATTTGCACCTCACTCCGCAGTGTAAACCTTCGAGGGTAAAGTTGGTTCAAACTTTCATTAACTTCGGTTAGAAAGTTGCAGGTTCGAAAATTTTAAAGTTGTTGAACTTTTTATAATGATAAGTTTGTAAGTTACAAAAGTGTCCAATTTTTTATCTAAAAAAATTTGAAAGTTAGAAAATAATCTAATTTCTTAGCATAAAAACCTCGAAAGTTGGAAGATTAATGAATTTTAATGTAAAAAGTTTGAACATTTGAAATGCTTCAAACCTTACATACCCCTTGGTTCGCTCTTTGAACCTCAGGTTTGAAAAAAAGTTAGCGGCATCTCGATAATCAACACATAAGTTTTAATTTTAATTCAATGTGCCTTGCAAAGTAATAAAGGGGCACTGACACATCAAAATCATATTTTTTTTTTTATTATCCGAAACAATTGAAAATGATTATGGGACATTACCCTCAAAATTCGAAACTCGGGAATTCAGTATTTGTGAATTAAAAAAAGAAGTTCCAAATGTCGAATTTGAGGTTCCCGCGCGATCCGCGCCAGTGCAGTGACAGCAAATTTTGTGGTCTCCTGCGATTTGACTTTTTCGGACCTCCGCTCCACGCTACGAAGCAAAGCGCCGTTGCCACCGTGACCCAAAGCGAGGAGGAGGTGAGGAGCGGCGGACCGACCGGGGAAAAAATCGGTTTCTTCCCCGACTCACTGATCATCCTCTACTCGAGCGCCGCCAAGTTTTCCAAGGGAGGATACAAATCCAGGAAGCAACATCACACCGGACTCTGATTTTTGGTATTTAAAATTGAGGGGCCGTAGCACGTTCGCAATTGCATTAAAAAACATTTTACGATTGCCGTTATTAAATGTTATAGAAATGTCGCCTACAAAGCTTCTAAATTTCATGATTTTTGACATCGCCAATCAAAAGAAGCAACGAGGTGAGCAGGGGGGGAGAAAAGTTCCAAAAATTAAAAAGGTGCGAGCACGCGCAGAAACATATTTTTTCTGGCTGCGTTTTTTTTTTTTTTTGCGTGTCTATGACTACAACTTGCATCGTTTTAGACAATAAAAAGAAATGCAACCTTTGGGGTGTCAGTGCCTCTTTAAGAGTACAAAAATCAAAAATATGCATTTTTTTTACCTTACTCTTCTAGAAACAAGTCATGTGTTCGGAACATGCCCAGCATGTCCACAAAAGCTCACGGAGGCAATAAATGCGCTCGGCGCGCAAAACAAAACATTTGACAGGCACCTGAGGAAAATCCCTGCTGGTTCGACCCATTGCCACAGTCGAAACTAAAATCTAATAAATGGACGTCATCTTCTGACTGCTGCCGCTTTCATCCACGAAATTGATTGCATATGCACCAGAACTGCAAGTCAGAACATGTTTTTGAGGCGATCCTGGAACGTTAAGGTCGCATGAAGAATCTCCCTCTCATGGAAAAGCAGAAGCTTTAATTCAACATAGAGTTCCTCCGTATCATCCTGAATATTGCCGCATGTCTAAAAACTGTGCTGATTGCATTGAAATAGGGGTTTGAAATCCATCAGTCAAATTTATTTGTTTGAATAAGCATGGTAAGGAAAGAATTAAGCACAGCAATACAGATATCCTTTGGTGGATCAACAGGACTGCCGTTCGTGAACGTAATAGCTGCAGAAGCATATAAACGGAGAATGTATCGGCAAGTTTCTACAGTAATTTAAATTTGAACGCTCCTCAAAACTGATATTCTTCCAGGTGCACTGTAAAGCCATTAGTTCTGTGGTCCAAGTGTGGTTGGGTGAAAAGCTTTATAGGCCCTCTAGATTTGAGACAAGCAGCTTTCAAAGTAGCTTCAGTTTGCTTGAGTTCCATTGATATTAAATCACTATACTTAGACGAAACTGATTTGAGAGTTCGGGTGTTTTCGGATTTCATTTCATCTTTAGCTGTTGGAACAGAGGGACTGCATGTTCACTGCACGTCGTGAGACTTCTGTCACACGGCACTTCTGGTCATGCATTGCAGTACCGAAAGGGCATGCTTCAGGAACAAGTGGTCTATTGGTATACTCTGAAGGGGAGAGTAGTTTCACGGTGCAGCCAGTACTGAACGTCTCTCACTTTGATGATTTGAATTGGTGTTCAGGACTCATTGCAGAGGGTGCAGAGCAACGCTTTCAATTCATGTGATATTGGGGGTTTTGTAACAGTTATGAGCCTTGAACCATATTTCGAGAAAAAAAAAGGTCATGCTTGTCTGTTTTTATTAGGAGAGCGTGGACCTTGCTGACCAAGACAAGGTTCTGGATTTTGACGAAGATAAGCGCAATCCACAGTACATCCCCAAGAAAGGTTCATTTTACCAGCATGACGACCGCATGATGGGAGATGAGGAAGTGCCCTCCTCTCAGGAGCAGGAGAAGGATGAAGAGGACAAGTGAGTTTCTCTACTAACAGGGAGTTGGGGGCCCAAAACGTGGTGTGAATTGGAGAAGTCCATTTGAGAGAGACATACAGCCTCCAGCACCTTCTAGACGGCATGTGAAGATATCAGCTAACTTGAAACACGAAAGAATAAAACATATAGGGACGGACACACACAGACAGGACAGTTCTTTAAATTAGCAACCAACGTTTATGATGCCTCCTCATTGGGTCAGCGTTCCTCTAACCCAACCCTCAAAAGTTGGAGAAGCGCTGACCCATTAAGGAGGCATCATAAACGTCGGTTGCCTATTGAAAGAATTGTGCTGTCTTTGTGTGTCCGTCCCTATGTGTTTTATTCTTTCGCGTTTCAAGTCATCTCTGCCAACCTACTCTGTGTTCTTGTTCGCGTATCAGCTATGCAGTGGGAGAACCCTTTTTGCTTTATGCAGTTTGTAGCGGTGTCTTAGGCCCATTGCTATTCCTTATTTAAATGGTTTACCTCAGAATCTCTCATCCTCTGTTTTGCAGACTGTGTTATCTATCGTTAAGTTACTAACAAATCCGATTCTTTTCTTCAGACTGATGAATGGTGTAATGTATGGTGCATGACCCTGAAAGGGATACTACAACGAAATTTCGGCACTTATTTTTTGGTCTATATGTGTTCAAAAAAGCAGTATCACATCAGACACAGAAGTATCTTGTTAAAAAAGACACGAAAAGAAATTTTAAAACAAATTGAGTGATTAGCAAAGAGCACCTGTGGATGTCGCTAAAGCCTTGTTTGTAATGCCCGTCTAGGAACCTTAACAGGTAGTTACAATAACTGTCTCACCTAGAAACTATACATGCTTTGAACCTGACGTATCCCTACAGCTCTACGGCCAGCACAAGAGAAGAGGGAAGGAGGAACTCTCCATTCAATGGGATTCTTTTGTGTGTCCCAGACGTTGCTATTCTCCCTCTACAAGATTATAAAAGATTAACCCGTCGCTCAAAATTCACAGAAAAGCAGATTTGCGGCGATGGCCCGATAGGTGGCGTGTTTCGACGGCTTCGGCGGCTGGAACGGCTAGAACGGCTAGGGCATCCTGACGACGTCAGCGTCGCCGCAGCTTTGCTCATCCCGAGACAAGCTATGTCACGATTGCGCCGGATGTGACGTGCTATCTGCTGGCTACTCTCTCCAAGTGCTTGCCAGAGCGGGCCTTTTATAACGAAAAATACAGCTGTCGGGCTCAAAATACAAACGTGTGATTGTCATTTACGGATATTGTGGATCATATTCAGCCTATTTCTGAACACGACGGGTATATTTCATATTTCGTTGAAGTATAGCTTTAACACTAACAAATATAAAGCTATGCTGGTATCTCAACGTATTATGTCGCCATTGTCATACTATCTGGGTACTTCCACCTTGCAGTTTGTGAACTCCTACAAATATCTTGGCTTCCATATTACCTTTAACGTATCATGGCAAACTCATACTGATCATACAATTGCTAACATCAATTCTATGCTCGGGTAGTACTAAATTAGCCCTCGTGTCTTTGAAATTACTTTATTTAAAACCATAGTACACTTTAGATTGCAGATCCTGGCTGCACCACATTCGTGTTTAACCTTGAGGCTGTCCAAAATCGCGGTGTGCATTTTATTTTCTCCAACTACCATCACACAGCCAGTGTCACGTCCATGAAAACTAACCTATCTCTTCCTCCTCTTATGTTGCAATACAAAATACCTCATTTATATCTTTTTCATAAAATTTTACTCTAACTCTGTTCGAAAGGATAAGCTTCTTCCTCCTCCATATATTTCCCCTTGCACGGAACATCAATGTAAAGTCTGAACTCATTCCTGTCGCACCAATGCCCACATCGACTCTTTCAGTCCCAAATTGTCATCCGAATGGAACCACCTTCTCGCATCTTTAGTGTTTGCCAGGGGTCTCACATTCACTTGAGTGTAGGGGCCAGATAGTGCAGCTCCCAAAGGTCAATGGCCAATATAAAAAAAAAGGGGGGGGATCAAGAGATTTCATACATTACCTCATGTTTACAAGCAAACCGGAGCACCCCTGGCAGCATGCCACCGGCGTCACGTATGCGCGATGGTGTGTGGGCAGGAAGCGCTGCGTCCCACAACAAACCATTGGAATGTGACGTCAATGCAAGTCCCCGTGCTCTTTTTGGAATTGTTTTGTCTTCCTAGCATGCTTGTATAAGATAATCATGAAAAAGTATCTTTAGGAACCACCAAGATCTAGAGAGTATTCCCAGAAAGTTTCATTAGTTTACACTGCACAGTTATTTTTTTTTATGCATTTTCGGTCCACTGATGCTAACGAAAAAGTTCAAGTTGGAGCTCTTGGATCGTGTTTTTCTGTTTCACTTCTTGGAAAATTTCCCCTTTGGGAAAACTATTGTTTGGTAATGGGATAGAAGGAAGGACTCGCTCATTTTTTTTTTCTAACTGGAATTTAATGGGCAATACAACTCTGACATTGTATTTTTTTTTAACTTTGTGAATGTCTCTTATGAGGAATTTTGAGATTTTGTCAGCTACATAAAAGGCTAAAAAATTATTTGATTTTTACCGCAATGTTAGCATAAAATAAATTACTTTTGGAAACTTTGTTTTCACAGCTGCACTCTCCAGGCATTCTGCTGCATATTTACAGTAGTGAAGAACAACTGGTATTACATTAGTTTTCTAATGATAGTTTTCCTAAACAAAGTCAGTGTGTTTTCGGTAAAAATGACTAATTTATTTTACAATTCATTTAGAGTATGGAGCTGAAAGTTGCACTGCATTGTGCCTTGCAACTGCCGCTATATACTGTAAATTTCATTCATATTACGCCAAATGTTCAAAAGTTGACCCTTTTTGGGTAGTTTTCCCCCCTTAAGATACGGTAACTTGAGTAGATTATTTTAAGTTATGTACAAGTCTGCTTTCTGGCAATGTCTATTTTAGTGGCTCAAGCAAAATTAACAAGGCTCAAAACACCGCAAAAACTTTGTGCGGCGATTCATTACATGTGAATGCCGCAGTATGGAAGCTAGAGCCCGATCTGCACAGTGAGATTCTGCTCGCTATTTTCAGTCGCTACATCGCTCAAGCTGCAAAAGCGTGGACAGTAGCTGCGATGCTCGATGTTGATACTCAAAATCGCAAGCAGAATTGGACCAAGTGAATCAGGCATAACAAGTCGGTGATGGCCGCCGGTAACAATGATCAGCTTCACCCCATATCTACTGTTTACACCGAGCCTACCTACCCCAAGCGACTTTCACACCTAAAAGTTTTTGGATGCCTGCATGCTCTTCTTATCGCAACATTTATTTATTTTTATTTATTTATTGATACTGTCGGCCATTTACAGGGCCTTTACAGGAGTGGTAATACATACAAGATGTAAAAGAACAATCATGCACTGACACTTCAAAAAAGTAATTCACCCGGTGGAATAAAAAAGCAAAAGAAATACATTCTAAACACAAAGTCACGGCACATTATGAAGCACTATACTCTTTATATTTTTAACAAAATTATTGTCTACTCGCTGCTGTCGTATGAACAAGCATATGACAGTTTAAAGGAATTTGAAAGAGCAGACGGCTCTATCAACATAAAGACGCACAATGTGGCCCGCGGGTGGTGTGGACAACTTGACGGTTTTCTCACATTCATGTTGGAACGAAACGGATAAATCTGACGACCACAAGTATCCGTTATTTAAACCCAGAGTGCTTGCCGAACAAGCAATCATAGTCCAACGTGTCTGGTTTTCTCTTTTCACGGCACCTATGTTCTCAGACGAACCGAGCAGGCAGAAAACACATGAAAACTGATCTTCACACCTTTCCCGGCTCCTCTGGTCAGCGCCACCACCATGGCGTGACGTAACAGAGTTGAGTTGGTGTATAAAGGGGACCTGGTGCTTTCTGCTTTTTTTAAACTCAGTTTTGCCGGTGACATCTTTAGATTTGCTTTGTTTTGTGCCCTTTGGCTGATGTGATAACAAGAATTAAAATGGCGCTGTCTCACCAACGTGCTGGCATTTTTTAATAGAATAAGAAAGTAAGCACGATGTTGTTCCCATTGCTCAGTCCACTCAGAAATCAATCAAACTCAACATGACTAAAAAAAAATTTTTCAAATCACAGTTGTTGTTTTTTTTGTGATTTTTAGAGCAGCAGACTGAAAACAATACTTTTATAAAATGGTAATATTTTCAGAAGACAAGAATCCCGAGCTTGTAGCTCAATCTTTGGCAGTTGCTCCTGTTGAGCAAGGGTTCATGCAACCAAAGTGTGTCCTTGAGCGAAGAGCTCGTAGCTATCGAAATTGTTATGGGGGTGATTAGCTCGACAAAAAGCTGAAAAGCAAAGATTGAACTAAACACACGGCAAATGAAAACGGAGTAGTTTAAACTATGTGTATATGTTATAAGAGCAGCACCATGTTTCGAGCGGAAAGGTATCTGTGACATGAATATCGGTGGCATGCCATTTCTAGCGCTCGAGACATTGAGGGGGGGGAGAGGGGGGGGGGGGGGGGCTCGCAGCCGGTTTACTGTTTGCCACATTCCAGCGAGTCGCGGGCCGCATACATGTTTGACACCCCCCAGTCTATATCATTGGTCGGTTCGTTTAGAATTGCGATAATCAGTCATTTTTGTTAATCTTCAACCGCTTGTGTTTTAACTGCATTTCTTTACTAGACTCGATTATATCCTATTAATTTCTTTTTGCCCCTCCTCTCTGTAATACCTCCCATCCCCAAGGGTATTGAAATAAAATTAATTTCCCCCGTTGTGCTTCACAATTCAATCACTTTTTTTTTTTTTGCTTTATCGCTGTTTTTGGAGTTTGTTCCGATGGTTTGGGTCAGCCGAGTACGGCTGACTCAGTCACGTTTGTTCGAGATAGCGAGGCTGCTTGTCGTCCTCTTCGGGAATGCCCTTCAACTCCCGCCATTCTCTTCCGCTCAACAGGGGTGGTCGTAAGCAGAAGAAGCTGTGGCACGACGAAGGGGCCTGGGGTCACGACATGTACCGAGAGGAGGAGCAGGCACCCAAGACTAGCGAAGAGCTGGTGGGCATCTACGGGTACGACATCCGCTCGGAAGAAATGCCTCCGCGGGCACGCCGCCGCCGCCGCTACGGTCGTGGTCCCAACAAGTATGTACGGAACTGGGAGGACGAGGATGCCTACGCGGGCAGGCCGGCGCAGCCGCGCGGCGGAGGAGGCCGGAGATCCCGGGGCGGTCCCCACACGGGCAGCCCTTCGTTCCGGGAAGAAGACTTCCCCGACCTGAGCAGGAAGTCCAGCGGCTCGGACGCAGGTCAGGACCAGGCGAGGGAACCCACACGCAGGGGAGGCGGCGGAGGGCTCCGGAGGGGGCGCAGCACGCCCGGGTGGAATAGGAGGCCCCAGGAGAGCTCGCTGAGGCAGGCAGAGAACGGGGACATGGCAGAAGAGTCGAGCAGGAGGTCGTGGCCCCCCCTCCAGAGTTCCAGGGAGCCCTCGCATGGGCAAGGGGGCGGCGGCAAGGGCCGCTACGGGAAGGGCGGGGCACCTGCCGAAAGCCTGGAGCGAGACCCAAAGCCCATGGCGGCGGTGGAGAGGCTATCTTCCGAATCCGGAGAGCACAAAGACGGTGAGGGCACGGGTCTGGTGTAGGGTGGGCCGGTCGTGCCAAGGGTTACCGGGGTTCACAAGGAGGGATTTATAGGAATGGCAGGAAGGAAGTCTTTGGTCAAACTGAATGGGAGAGTGCTTCTAATATCTTAACTACGCAACTTTGTGTCAATAGTCACAACTCTGACCGCTTTTTTTTTTTTTAAGCAAAAATGTATGTGTTTTTTTTTTATATACCTTTTTTTTATACTGTATCCTCTAAAGACTTGCAGATCCTCCGTAGTGTTTGTTTATTTTGCTGTGAATGCATGCTGATGCTGCAGTGCAGCAGTGTGCTGCCAAAATATTTTTTTTTTGATGTGGAAGCACTTCTTTTGCATGTTTCATATCTGAATGGCAATAATAATCCCTGGAGAAGGGGAACAAAGGGGACAAAGGATAAACACAAATCTACAAACACGGCTAAAGGTGACTGGTGCGTGACCGAAAAAATCCGCCTGGTCCGAGTATAGAACCCGGGTCCGCTCTGTTTCCGATGAAGCCGGTCCCAAGTTCGAAAGCCGGACCAGGCGGATATTTTCGGTCGCGCACCAGTCACCTTAAGCTGTGTTTGGATATTTGTGTTTGTCCTTTGTCCCCTTTGTTCCCCTTCTCCAGGGATTATTATTGCCATTCCTGTCCAGCTCGCTTGTACCTTTGCATTAATTGCATCTTAATCATAACAATACATATCTGAACTTTTCCTGCTATAGCCTCGATGAGGGGACCAGGCTGAACAAAAAAATCGAGGTGTAGTTCTAATTATAGTTACCGTTAGTTAGGGGAGTGCCCACCCCATTTTCACTAAAAACTGGGTTAATCTAGACATGGGTGCTTGTCCAGTCAAATCGGGCGGTTAACGTATCATTTGCCGAATGTTAATAGTGGTTACTTCTGCAGTATTTTATGGTAAATGTTTTTTCTCATGGCTGAAAGAAAAGAAATTTGGCATTTTATGTTATTTGTGCCAGGCCCGAAGGCATCCGATAGCAAACTTCCAATTTCTCTAGAATTACCTCGATATCTGTGATTCAGCAGTCAGTATTTGAAAACTAGCTTGGGCCAGGGGGAATTTGTGAGAATCAGATGCAGTAGCAATTGGATCTGATACCGAGAGTTGTGAGGAATTGGTTCTTTTGGGTATTTGGTGTTATTTATAACAACTGGTTGAATTCTCCATTACAACAGCACCAATTGCAGTAGTCTGAGTCCCCCACGGTTATAGGTGTGTTTTTGAAAGGGGTGTATTGTTCGAAGTTGCAGGGATCTAGACTTTGATGTCCTGTTTGATGCAGAAATTATTGCACCATCCCATTTCTTCATTGCAGGAAACAGTCTAGGTGTTAAAAAGGAACAAGCAAACTCAAGTGTGCCTCCAAAAGGAAACTCTTCAGGAGGTGGAGAGGCCGCATGCCGTCCAAAGCGCTACTCTTCATTGCGTCAACGTCCACCCACAGAGGTGACTATCAGTCCCATTGATGGCAACTATCGGTCCCAAGCACTAAATATCCTATTTATGCACAATTATGAGCATGATCATGTGGCGAAAGACTAACGTATGGCTGGTCCAACGAGCACATAGCTTCCACTGCACTGTCAGCTTGGTGCAGCATGTATCGAAGGCCACGGGCTCTGCTGTTTGAGTTTCATTTGTGTCCGATAGTATTTCGCATTCTTTACGTGAGCATGGTAGGGCAGTATGTGTACTGCCTTCTAAAATATACTGAGAATCGGACACGATAGAACATAAAAGAATTATTTTGCATCTATGCATTGTCTAAATATATCTCGTCGGCATTTCCTAGCCTGCCCAGTATTCTGAGCCAGCAGTGGTTGCTCAGCTGCCCAATCCTCAGTCTTCTGGCCAGTCACGGTCAGCCCTTTTGACTCCGGCACACTTCCAGGCGGCACCTTTCCCTGCATACAGTGAGTACACCGATGTCTGCACTTACTGATGATGCTAACAGTCAATCAGTAATCGTCTAGGGTTGTTCGCTTCTATTAGCTCTCAGCTAATAGGAGCGGACATGTGTCAATGTTCGTTATTCGAGGCTAGGTTGTGCGGGAAATTTTCAAGTAACCATTATTGTAGCCTGTGTGTTCAGAACACTGGTTAGTGTTCATGTTATATTGTCTGACAAGCAACTATTAAAGGGACCATGAAATGACCTCTTTACTTTTTCCAGATACCTTTTACATTAAACCGTCAATGTTCACTGAATGCCAAACAGGCATCCGTTTTCGTCTCAGTTTATTAACTTCTACACAAAAAATTAATGAAATATCGACTTTTTCTTTCTCTCCAACTGACTGCAAAACAAGCCGTGACGTACGCTGTTTCCGGAACCGGAGGTTTTCTCTGCAGTAGGAGAATGGGAGCGTTAAGGCCCGTTCACACTCTTGCGACCGAGTACGACTGAGAGAGACGAGATCTCTTAAAACTTCTTAAATGTTTTTGGAATGAGGGAACACACTGGCATTGTGGCGCCATCTATGCGGTGACCCTGGAACTGCATTTCACAAGAGCGAAGGTTTTGCGGGATTTCCGAGGTCAAATGTGCGTAATACCCATAGAAAGGCTCGGTTATAACATTGACAAAAGTTTTTCGAGCCAAGAAAGAAAGGATAATGCGCAAAAAATAAAAAAATATACCGGACCGCCGAGTTTACACTGCTTCCCAATAGATGGCGCCAGTGTGTTCTCTGGTTTAAAAAGTTTTAAGGAACCCAGGTTTAAGAGGTCGCAAGAGTGTGAACGGGCCTTTAGCGGCGACGAGTTGGGGTGCGCCGGTAGGTTTTACTGCGCTGATGTCATCGACGTATTTTCTGAATCGGCGCCTCTCATCGCCGCATCGCAGCTGAGCGAAATTCAATGAGATATGTTGCGCTACAGCGACAGCATGGGACTAGTCCCATACGCCGGTATGCCTGTTGGGAAGTGCAGCGAGTCTTCCGGTGACGACTCCAGAAGTCAACCCAACTGTCATTGTTGGTAAAAGGCGGCCCATGTCAGTCGTTTGCAAAGCGACGTAGATGGAAACAAATTGCCGCGGCGTTTTTCGCGGCCTCGGAGATGCAGGAGCGAGCCGACGTTAAAAAAGATATGTTTGAACTATGAGTGTCAGCAAGAGCCACGTAAATTACCTGTTCACACTCGGAGCGGACGCGCGCGTTTGATGGAAGTGCTGTATTCGCACTGTTGGTAAGCGCTTCGGGACCGATCTTTTACAATTGCAACTCGATACTTACGCGACACTCGGCAAAGAAAGGTTGGACCGGCATTGCACGTATACCTCCCACGAACTGTTATAGCTCGACAGTGACGTGCAGTCTGTCAGAATAAAAATGGCATGCCAATAACAAAGTGTACATACCGTGTTACGAAGGTAATCCATACGGCGTTTATTTGAGCTCTATATCACACAAAACAAGATAGAATCGACGAAAGTCCCTTTTCGACGAGTGTTCGTCAACACTGTCTCGGAAAACAAGGGGAAGAGATTGACCTCACCTCTTAATCTAAAATTGAGGTCAGCGGTCAAACTATAATACGGGAAGGGTCCACAAGGGTAGCGCGGGCATATTCCATTCAGCACGCCAACCGGTCGTAGGCAGACGATCTTGCGACGAAGCAACGCTGCGCCGAGTCGGAGTGCCTGCTAGGCCTATATTCTGAGCAGCTCGCTTCGTCGGAGTCGGTGGATTCGTCGACGTTGTCGCTTTTCTCGGGTGTTTGTGGATCCAGCGTTCTTGTTCGTCGTGGTCTGTTTTAAGTACTTTTTTTCTCTTGTTCGTCGTTGTTCGTTTTTAAGTACTTTTTTTCTTGCTGCTTGAAGTCGGCACGCGCGAGAAGAACACGTAGAAAATTAAACGTTCAGTCAGTCAGAGTTTTGAGAGGAAGGAAATCAAAGGAAATAACCGTTCGTCGGTCGTCGCGACCCAAGCAACCCAAGTAACTAAAGTCGGCCCTGCCCTACTGCGCACGTGCAGTAGTTGCTTTGTTTACCACACGATAGATGGCGCTTAGCTCTCAGCATTATCAAATTTGGCAATTTTCGCCACACATCTCTAATTATGCTACAACATGTGGATCTGAATTTTATTTAACAAAACTTTTAGGAAACATTCGCCGGCTATTTATTGTTTACGATCGCGGTGCTGGTGAGGTAGGCTCTTACCCAATAGGCGACGTGGATTCGGCTGACGTGCTCCTTTTCCGCTGATGCATCGTAGTGAAAAGGCAGCGAGCTTTCGAAGGAAAGAAGGCGCAAAAGAGTCCAGTTTTCTTTTAAAAGTTCTATAGCAAATAATTTTTTTTGGCTCCCTATTTTTGTGTTTTTGTGTTTCTTTTCACACCTTTTACGACGTGCGGTGGATGAAATTCGGTTTTAAAATCATTTCATGGTCCCTTTAATAATTAGTACAGGCTAGCTCCATTAAATCATGAAATGCATAAGAAACTGGTTTCACTACTGGGGAAGCTGGTTGCCCAGAATTATTCTAGTCTCTAACTTTAAGATGAAATGTGGGTAAAAAAAAAAACGGCAATATTTTGCAAAAAAAAAAATGGCATTTTGTGTTTTATGATGTTTTATCACCTTTGAATCTTCATATTTTATGTATTCAAATATTTAGTGCTGATTATGATCTCAAAACCCGGCAACACGTTATGATCCCGGCAACACAGAATGGTATAAATTTGAGCCATTTTTTTTGTGCGTGGTTTTTTTTAATTGTTACGTCACCTGCCATCACATTTACGTTGTAGGCCTAGCCATCTCCTCCCCATCGCAGTCTTCTGCAGCTTCAATTTCTCAACAAAAAAAAATTATTAACATGTTTTTTTGTTTGCCACGTAAGAGTATTGCTGCAGATCTATGGTAACACTTGAACGCATTGTTCTCTTTATATAATTTTGGGGAATCTTCACAGTTTGGGCACAGGACTTCTTAATATTGTTGTATCACTACCAAATTAAAATTGGCATGCATATATTTTAAAATACTAGGTAGGATGTATATTTTGTTATATTTATAAAAAAATAAACTTTTGTTAGCCCTTTAAAAAAGGAGTTTTGTGATTTCTAATTATTTTAAAATAAAATAAGTCTCATACACATTATTTTTGTTGTTCATTGCATTCAGTGGTCTAAAAGGCGGGGGAAGGGGGGGGGGGGGGGGGGCGTTGTCGTTCATTACGCACGGTAAAATTTTCCCATTTACACACTTTGCACAAACGTCATTTTAGGTGCCAATATGACATGGCACGGTACTGTGGCATGTCTCCACTGACGGAGGCACGCCCATGCACTTTTGGCGTACCTTTTGTTGAAGAAAAAGCACCCTACGAAGCTCATTCAGCAGGGAGAGCGACGCGACCGTTCTTAGGCCTTATGACTTTCACAATATTACTGTTCAAAAGAGGATCACAGACGATGGCATGTTTGTTGACATTAATGCATCCAATGGACGAAGCATGTCCGGCGCTGGGCAATTCCTCGACCCCAGCTTCGCCAGGCGTGCGCACCGCTTGGTTTCACAGTTGATCACTTCCGTTACCACGCAATTGCAGAGGGGTTTGACTTGACTTGACTTGACTTGATTTGACTTGGCCTGGCCGCTTGACGGCAAAAAAAAATTGGCGGGCTTGGTAGCTAGCCGTCTAGCTAAGTTGGACGCACCAAGACTTGCGGAGCCGAAAATTAAAAGTGTGTTCATTATGCAGGGAAAAAAAAAAGTTCAAATATTGATGGCCATTGTGGGGGGTGCGTTTAGTATGCGAGTGGCAATCATTATGGGAGTAAATACGGTACTTCACAGGCACCAGATTTTTCTACATAGAAGATTTACCTCGAGATTTATGTCCATTCAACTTGAGTTTATAAACAATTTTATTCTTCCCAATTTGAGTAGTTTGATTGTGTGGCATGTCCAGGATCTACCAGGTTTCAGGATTAGTGGCTGAAATGATAAGCTTTATCGCTTGGAAAAAAAGAAATCTTTTTTTGCAGCTTTCCTTTTCATCTAAATTTTATTTGTTGCTAATATTTTGTCTTGTTCAGGACAGCTTCAAGTAACTAGTAAATATCTGTACTCTGAAGTCTTCAGCATTAACTAATGTGCTAACATTTTTCCTTTTTTTTCTAACTTTTGTCAAGGATGTATTAAAAAGATTAGCTCCATTCTCCTGATGTCATGGTACTTTGAACTGCTCGCCCAATGGCATGTCACCTCCGATCTTTCTCACTACTGTGTAGTGCTGGCAATCAAAGGTTGTTTTGCCATTGAACTAGCTCAGTGCACTCGTCACGTCATACTTCTAATTGCAGAATTTCAAATTTCTTGCAGTTGTGTAGGGCCAACCATTAGCTTCTGATCTCTCATCTAGGAGACATAACTTTGTGGGTTTGTTGATCAGAAGCAGCTGTTGTTTTGAATGCAGCACTTTTAAGGAATCGGATTTCTTATCTTTGTTTTTGTATTCGAAAATATCTTTCTTGCTCTTATGTTTTGTTATATTTTGTTGCAGGTTATTTACATTCTTCTTGAATAGGAGGGGCTTCCACGCTTGCTTGGCTGCTTCTAGTCGTGTGAAAGAGCCTTACAAAATAAAGCTACCTTAATGAACATGCGATATTCAGGAAAATCGCGGAGGTCTGAATCAGATAGCCGTGTTTGTTTTAGTGAATTCAATATACAGTTTTGTAATGTCAGATTGCCATTACAAGGACAATGTGATGTAGTCTGTATACAAATGTTTTAGGTTATTGCTCCGCTGTTTATTTACTTCCTGTTTATTTTAGTGATTTGAGACTTTTTATAGCCTCTTTTTTTTGTACTACATCCAATGGAGTGACATATGCGGCTTCTACAATGAATAAAAGTGGAATGAAAGACAGAATGTGATGGTTTAGTTTGTTACATGTG